AACGTGGCTCGACCTAACACCGGTCTCTGTTTAATGGTGGATGAAATAAAGAAAGTGGCGGTACTTTATTTACTTTGAGCAAACAAACGTCATGCTCGCAAGATAATTAATCCACCAGATAATTCAGAGGCGGTCTGTTCGGTAAGTTTTACTTCAGGAGCTGCGAGCCTCATTTTCAAGCTTCAGACTGAACTGAAGCGGCGGCTGCTGACGTCATTACGCTCTTGCGCGACAAATTTAAATAAACGACGTCATCGATCATTTCAACTAATCGGTGCAGCCCTAATGCCTACAACAAAAAGACATGCAGAGAATCAATCAATCCCAAAAAGGAAAATGTAAAAAGCGATGGATTTTAGTGAAGGGTATCCTCTATTATCAGTGCAAAATGAGCCTACAAAATAAAATAAAAAACATTGATGCTAAATAAGCCACGCAGAACTGTATGTTGCCTTGTTTTATGAACAGATATGTGTATGTGCACTGATGCTGAGCGTTCTGTATTTCATTAACTGTAAATGAGCTGCCAACAGTCCTGTTTTCTCTCCAGCTAACATAAAACCTTAAGTCCTTCTACATGACTTTCTCATAAATTCATTTTTTAGCAGTTCATAACCAGGTGATGGATTTAATAGTGGCCCGGCTTTTAAACTTGTATTGTGCAAAAGCTACACATAAATACATGTAAATACTTTTGTTGGGGTTTGTTTTACATTCAAATCACGACTATCCCCTCCAAACCAGAAAGTGACCCTTCTCCGTCTTCAGGCTGTCTGGGTCCAGTTGTTTAGTCTGCAGCGGAGGTCAGAAACACACCAGATAATATACTAACTTTACCCAGAACACTTGTGTGAGCTGAAGGTGTTTGCTTGTAAAATTCTTTAATCTTTCAGAGAAGCCTTGTGAGTCATGGACGTGTGCGTTAGTAATTGTGAGCATCGGAGTAAAACTACACGAGTGCAGCTGCGTTTGTGTGTTTGTGCAGAGACAGCAAAAACAAACTATTCTGCTGGCATTTGACGGTTACATTAGGAGACTGGGAGAGCGAGAATATGTGTTTGCACGTGTGTCACAGAAATGGGCCAGTAGAAATAACCCACCGAGGGCCCCCTCAGCTGTGTCGGCAAACAGGAAACTGAAGTTCAGCCTCACAGTTTCACGTGGCTCCATCTGTTTCTTTTGCTCTTGTGTGTAGTTTTCCCTGCGATCCAAACTCAACCTGAGGCCCCGCGTTTCAGCAGCCGCCTCCCTTCACACAACGATACCCACAACAATTCGTTTCATCCTTTTCCTTAAAGCCCAACCTTTTGCTGCTCCTCCTCTGATCCCAGGGTGGGCCTCTCTGTTAGACCAGACAGGAGCTGGTGCAGTGTTGATGCTTAAGGTGTTCCTGAAAATCTCTCATGCGTGAATGCGTGTTTATTCGTCCCCCACACTCACCCTGTTCTTCTAATTAGGTCCCAGAGTACCTCACATTAGTAGCGTAAACAATCTCCTTTTTCTTTTAGATTGGTGAATAAATAAATCATTGCAGAAAAATAGGATTTTTATTTTGATTTACTGCCGGCTCAGTCATTAGTGCAAATTAGTACAACTTTTATGGTACCCGTAAAAAATAATCTTTTCATTTAAAAGAAGCTCAGAAATAAAAATTAGYTGACTAAATTTGTCTTTATAACTTTATAACTAATAAGTGATATAACCTTGTTATGTGAATATTTCTGAGACAGAGCAGAACAGAGAGGCTACATTTGACTCAATGCTGACAATGTGTTTCTTGTTATGTCTTTTCATAGAGAGGTGTTTCACCCCCACACACACCAGCAGACCCCAAAATKTGTATCCCATCTTTAAAAGAACAGTCATATTTTACAAAAATACATTAAGAGATCATAATTCTCMTATTTCAGAGCCCTAAATATTCAATTTGTTAAGAAATGTTACTTTAGAGAAAAAAAATGTGCAAACCTTCACAAAGGAAAGGAGCATAAACACTAGCTGCACTTTTCAATACAGTTCAGCACTGACCTATAGAAAACCCTAACCAGTCAACATCTAAAATGTTATGAGCAACATTCAATAAACTAATTGCTTATATTAAAGGAGAGTTTGGCAAAAAGAGTTAATACATTACAAGAAAAACACACATGCATCATGCAATCTTATCTCTGCACCTTACTGTTTATATGGGATTCTCATAAAATTCACACAGTGCATTCGTCCTGCTGGTATCTGTTTGCTCATCCCAACAAAGCAATCTGTTCCCAGGCTAACTGACTGACCAATCCAGCCTCTGCGCTTCTGAAGAACACTTGCTTGGAGGAGATAAAACCGAAGGTTGCAGCTGCTACRGAGAAGAGATATAAAACCTGCGAGATAAAACCACTTTTCACAAGAGGAGCAGTCTTTCAGTCACCTCCATGAATTTGTCTGGGTTCGTTTGTCTCTTTTCTTTTCTTCTTAGAATCCTTCCTTCTTCTGCAAGAAGAGCCTATAGGGAGGCTTGAGGAGCAGCTGCATCCTCCCTGTGCTCCCTATTAGTCGTGTATGGGCACCTGGCCTCCATTTTCAGCTCAGGTAGATCAGACCACCTGGCTGCCGCTAATTATTCCACTAAAAAGTGTTTTACTTCAACAAGAGTTAATGCTATATATTTACGCACAGCAGTAAGCTGAGATCAAGCTGAGGCTCCTYGGGTTTATTAAGTAAATCAAAACAGAACAAACAGTTTCTGACCTTAGCATTGTCAATCTCCTTAYAGTCTGAAAATACACCACTATTACTCCTTGTACAAATAGACCATTTTGATATTGCTAACCCAGCAGGATATCCATCCATGCAAAAAAGGGAATCCCCCAAATATTGCGAAATATGTGCATAAATGCAATAAATACAATATTATACAAWCAGCTACAACTCACCTTTGGTTGTCTGTTCTGTGACCTGAAACAGAGACGAAAAAAACAAACTGATATTAGGAATATTTCCTACCAACAGAAGTTGTCTCAGGTCTGCACAGCAGCAACYAGCTAGAGTAGTCAGAACATGATGTTCAGAGGCAAAGTTTTGTTTTAAAAATCTGCAACCCAAATTAAAATACAAATACAAACAGAATACAATTTTTTGCAAACATCACTAACTCCTATTTTATTCACAATGAAACATATCAAACATTTTTAAATTGATTCAATATTTCAACAAGTGATCAGGACAACTTTATCTGGGAATTGCTGAAGGAAAATAAATGGAGGTAAAATGGCCATGAGCCTAGAATTAACTGGAGTTTTACAACTTATTTGTGATTTAATAAATTATATGATTGAATGGACATTATGTTCTGTGCTGATTCCAATCGGCTTTATGAGTTAATGTGACTGTGCATGATTATTTGATGTGGTGGTTTGTTTTGAGCGCACCCAGCCTCTTGCTCAGCATCACTCAGCAGAAGCTACAATGGGATTAGGTGGGTATGAGAAAWTAATTAATGAACAAACGACGGGAGAAGTTTTCAAATATAAATGATCCCACTGCAAGTTTACCTTTTTCTGTGCAGCGTCTTTCTTTTTCTTTTCTTCTTGTTTTTTCTTTTTCTTATCTTCCATCAAATGGTTTTCTTCTTGTGTTTTGGCTTCTTTCACAGCTGAAATGTATATAAAAGATAAAGGACAAGGAGTTACCCTTAAGGAACTCCTGAGAAATGTCTTTTTAAACAAACCAAGGGTTTGTGCATTTTGTTTCAGCCTTCAGGGTTGGTTTTAGACATGATTAGGGAAGCCTTGTAGGTCTCTCACATCGAGGCCCCCGGAGACAATGCTCTCAGTGTGAGGTCTACACACCCAACCTGACAAAAGCATCTTGACACGATAAAACAATGTGGGCAAACTAAAAACAGACAATTCATGCTCTAATACTCATTTGCTGTCAAAGTTTTTTTTTATATATTTCTGGTTGTATTGCATCCTTAATGATATAAGAGTTCACAAAAGTGACACTTGTGCTAAAAGCCATCCTACAATGAGCCTTTGTTTTATAAGGGAAGGCATCCAGAAAGGAGTTATTCTGTATGAAGCCACAAACCTATCGAGACAAGTTGAAAATATAAAGCAGCCTTGTTTTTCAGGAATWAAGCGCCAAAAGAAATGAAGGAAAACCGTGAAAATTTGTATTTATTTAACTTTTTGAGTGTTGCTCATGAAACCACTAGCCTATTCTCCTGCCAAGTCTGTGCTGCTGCAGGCGACAGTGACGTTTGCCACCGCCTGGCAACAAGCGCTCCCTGAGGCCCCGGCGAGCAGCGAGCTGGAGATCGACAGCGCCCTTCGGTGCGGGCGTGCGGCACTAAAATCACTTTAGTCCAATCGTAGAACATGGAAAATGAGAAGAGAGCCGAAGCTGGGAAAGTACTTCATGTCAAAGTTCAGATCTGATCCCGCAGAACATGAGTGACGTCCTGAGAGTTTGGGTTTATGATCGTATACCGCCATCAAARCAATTTGTCTTTTATTCTGTTTCCTGACTTCACTTATTGTCTCCACCATAAATATGTGGCACTAGTTCGTATTTGTAAGCAGACACTGAAACAATAACTGTATCTTAGAATCAAATATTCATCAGACAAGTCTGGTATTTTAACAGTCATTTAGGATTAATCACATTTAACACGTTTTTTACTCTGATTAATAATTATAGAAATCCAGTTATTTTAATTACTTTTTAATCATATTGTGTCTTTATCATACTTATAGAGAGCAGGAGACAATTTGTAAGTGGACAAGTTGACAACAAGCCTTGGTGACAAACTTAAATGTTGCTTTTCAACATGCTTGTATAATTAAAGAGCACGATATGTTATAATGTTACCCACATTGGAASTGTTTAAAATGGTGGGCGTTTCTGAAATATTATATATTCTGGGCTAAATCAACTGAGCTGAACTAAAAACTTAATGGCTTCTATTTTATAAACACAATAATTTAACGACCTAGAGAATATTGATTAGGAGCACAATGAGCTCCTGGCTCGGGAGCCTTTAGCTAAGACTTAATGTCGACGACAAACAAAAGATGTGCAGTGAACTCTTCAGCTAGTTCCAAGAAAGAGTTGCTACACCAAACCATTTACACTCAATTTTATTTTATTTGCTTTTTCACCACTAACGGACAGATTTAGAGCTTGTTTGTGTAGCTGCGATGCTAAATATAGCTACTGTTGCATCACAGGGCCTTTTGTCATGTTGGGGCAGAGAATACGAGCGATGCTCCAGTTAATGTGAGCTGCTGCCTGCCAATGACCTGAACAGGCAGACTGTACGCCACACACAGAATCAAAAAAGCTTCAGAAATTCTCACTCAGTCAATTTTCCAACACGTAGCGCTCACAACATCGACATGATGCAACACTGATGTCTGTTTACTTAGATTTTCCTGCACGGCAAATGACCAAAATAGGTTGATCAGATTCAGGTGACCTTTACACAAACGTTTTATTAAACAACAACCATTTCATGAAATATGCCTTTGTTTCTGAATATAGAGACACTTCTGATCAAGTGTGAATCAAAACAATGTTAAAGTAAAAAAAATAATAATAATAACCCAAACAATTTCACAGATCAGCCTCAAAGTCAAGGGGAAAATCCTGAATAGCCACAGTGGTAAAGTGAGATTGTATTGAAGCACATCTCGTGTGAATATAAAAAGGTCAAAAAGGCCAGTGAACCGAGCTCTGCTGTGGCATGRCTCTCGTCTGTCAGAACAGCCGGATTAGAGCTTGGTATCCCCCGTTCAACAAGATGCTGATTGTGTTGACAAAGGAAGAGAGCAAAAAAAATAAAAAAATAAACAATGAAGGAGAGATCAAGGTGAGCCCAATCTGAGCAGGCGTCAAAGTAGTTGGGAAAAAAATGAAGTGGAAATGGAGAGGRAGGACAACAAATGTGTGAAAGCCACGCACACACAAGACTCGCTGCTCCACACTTGAGCAATAAAAGATGAGGGATCTGCAAATGATCTGGCTGGCGGTGAGTGTGTGTGGATGTGTGAGGGATTTTTTTTTTGGGGGGGGGGGGTGGCAGGCGACAGGCACTGGGCACAGAGCCAGGAATGCCATCGCTTTAAGCCAAACAAGAGAACAATTAACAAGTGGAAGGTGGCTTGCTACCATCGACAGTAACAGCCACTGCAGGTATGATACAATGTGCAACATCCTCTGCTCCTCTGCCCTTTCGGACGACGGCCCCCCCTCTTTAAAGTTTCTGAGTTCAGCAAAATTGCATCAAATGCAAAACACAGACCAATAAATAAACAAACAAACAACACACCCACCCRGAGCTTCAAGGTTTAAAATCTCCAGGCTAGGCACTGACAAAGTCCCCGTGCTCTGTAAAGAGGATTGCACTCTATAAACTACTTGAAGCTATTCTCAGTGTGGTCATGATAATGCTTTCTTCCTCAGCCTAAAGGTGAGGAAGACAAACACAGCTTTACTACTGATGAAAACACATAAATAAGTCTTAACAACACCCTGCAGACATAAGGGGAACACAAGAGCCAACAAGTCAGAATGCGGCCAAAGCAAATTATTTTTTATTTGCTTTCAAAAATTATATTTAAAAAAGTTACAGTTGTGTGCTATAAAAGTTTGAAGTCTGTCATGTAATTATGAAGAATTAATGCTTGTTTATAACAGGTGAACAACCAATAAACTGTTCCTCCAATTAAAGCTGGATGAATGAAACTAGATTTAGACATTTTAAAAGTTTTTAATCTTTGACATCACTAAATAGTGTTCTTATTTCCTTCAAGATTACAGTTWAAGATTTGAAAAGAAAAAAAGTGACAATTTGGCAAAACACCTTCCAGTTCAACTCAAAGCAAAAAGGTCATGGAGGGTCCTGAGCTGAAAGTTAAACTATGACCTCAGCTGTATAATAACCACAGCTTTTAGCTGTCTGTTTTTGTTATCAAGCCCCCTCTGGTGCCTCTCTCTATGAATAGACAGCCTCTTTTAGAGCCATGGGTGCTGAGGGGGGCCCCCTAACCCAGCGTGGACAGAAAGGACCTCAGYGACCCCTTTTCTAAACTGCCACCATCGCCAGGATCAAAATTAGGAACCCCCCAAAAACACATTAGTAAACCCAGCAGGAATCAAAGCCCACCTCAGTCTGCTCTCTGCATGCATCAGAGTACTGGCATTCCCAGTCTGCACACACTGGAGGAGCGTGCGCGTGCGTGTGCATGATGCCAAGCTGCAGAACATGAAGGAGATGGAGGCATCATACCTCAGGGATTACACAGCTTACWCTCTGCAAACAAAAGAGCTGACAGTGTTTTCTTACCAGAGGCAACGTTAAGCTGTTTGACTCTCCTCTTTAAAATTAAACGACACAATTAAGGCACAAGATATAAGCACTTTTTAGGAGTATATTTTAAGGTTAGGATGCACTGTCTAACCTTCTGTCAGTGAACGAAACTGGGAACTGTTCAGCGCCACATGAATGAGCTGTTCGGTGGGATGATTTGTGCCGAACGAGCGGCGGTAATATCAGTTTCACATCTCCTGCGCGGCAGAGCAGCGGGAGGCGTCCCACCATGTCTGCCCAGCTGAAACAAACATTACAGCAGCTTGGCAACAACACATGGCGCCCTTGCGATCTCAAACAAACGACGCCTGTTCCGTCGAMTCGAAGAACACCTTCGTGCCAAACACGGCGGCAGCTGTATGCTAACCAAAACAGACAAGTTTGTTCAAAAAAAAAAAAAAATCTGAGCACCCGAGGGGGAAAAACAACATCATTTAGYAGGGGGAGGGTGAGCTAAATAAGCTTTAAGCCTTTAGCCTAGCTGAGCTTCGAAACGTCATAATCCTGCATATTTGCGCAAACGGAAGGCCGCAACTACGATTTGTTTTTTTCTTATTTTAGCGGTCAACGTGGAAGAGTAACTCCTACCATGAAGCGTTCAGGTTCTCACAGGCGGAGRAGCCTCTGCAGCCATTTTGTAGTAACTGACCAGAGCAGGAGAGCTCGAGACAGTTGAATCCGTGGTAACTGGGGGAAGGGGGCGTGGTTTCCGCGCACCACGTGACCTTCAATAACAAAACAAACCGGTCCCACCCACACGTCCCCCCTTCCCAAGCTCCACCCCTATCGGCGTTTCTATGGGAACTGCAGCCTTTTTTYCCCCCCCTCTATCACTGCCCTGCTGCAGATGCTGTCAGAGCTTGCATCTTTTTTCTTTTCTTTTTTTAACCAAAGACGAAAATGAGCGAGTGTAAAAGTCAACAAGCTACGTGCCAAAGGTAAACTGTCCAATGGGGAAAACCAAAATATACAAGTAAATCAGCTGCGTTGGCAGTCTGTGCGGTGAATGTGTACTGTGGTGTAACACCAACAGAGGGCACAATTTATATTCTGCTGCAAACCATACTCAACCAATGTGTGCCACTGTCCACACAGCAGCACTGAAGACAGATCAGCAACGTGGGGACGTTTCATCAGGTGTCATAAAGTAAACACATTACAGGAAGTCTGCTTACCTTCATTCGCCTTTCAAATCTGTTTTTTAATGAAAAATCGGGAAAAAGCTACATAGCTTAAAAATACATTTTCTATTTTACTTCTATATCTTTAGTGTGCAATGCAATAATGTGGAAAGATTTTGGGCAGTGCCTGGATTTTCTTGATTTCTTTTGAACTTGATTGTTTGTCTGGTTTTACTGTTATTGTTTTACATTTTCTACTTGCCTTATCTGATTTTATTTTCCACGTCATGAGATTCTTGTCCCATGTATTCTTGGAGTGGCTGCAACAATCGTGAATTTCCCCACAATGATTACTAAAGAATTTCCTTTTTTATTGCCCATAACAACAACAACAAAACATTGGTGCATTTGTTGCCCACAGTTGGTTGTGTGTCAGCAACTGCACATTTATTTGCGGTTGGCACAGTACCAACGTTATTACCATTTTAAATGACTAAATACCCAAGAAAGAAATCAATTTTTTTAAATATTTGATCCTAAAAACTATTAAAAAAACGACAGTTAAAGTAGTTCACTACAACCAGAACCAATCAGCGCTGATGGAATTTACTATTTAAAATAGGCTCATTTTTTATATAACCACCACCCCTTTAAAACATACAACCAGGCTACTCAATAACCATTTTAAACTTTAATAATATATATAATTAAAAACCTAAATACAAATTGAATAATAGATATAATAGTTTCCAATAATGACAATAGACATGGATATACTGTACCTTTGGAGTTTCTAAATTTGTAGGCTACACATTGCACATAAAATAAAAAATTTTATTAAAGCTTTATAAATTATTTTGAAATTAATCCATTATTTCAATAGCTCTTGGAACTTCAGGATAGCAGAAATAAAACACTTAGGCATCTGTAGGTGGATTTCAAATTGACTTTGTAGCACTGCAGGAAAAACCTCACAGTTTGTATGTAAAAGTCAATGATATTTGAAGTAAAGTTAATATTTATTATTTGAATGCATTGACTGATAAATGCTTTCAGTTCTCTGGTGGTGAAAAGTAAAATCAATAATTTGATCACTTTGGGCAGKAATCTTCCTTCTGTGCATGAAATCTAATCATCTCAGTTCATCTGAGAAGAAATGCATAATGTTTTGCTGAATTGTGTGCAGTGAGTCAGATCTGAGCTGAACAAATGCAGTTTTACATGCAGCAGTCCGCTTTGATTCTGCAAAGACTCAAGCAACATCACAGGAAGTGGTGATCATCACCGTGTGTTTGCAATTATTGAACCATCTGTACCTGCTGGCACAGACACAGATTACAGTGTCACCCACATCTGGTTGATTTAAAAAAATATGTTCATCCCTGTGATGTCAAAACACAATTACTCAGTTTGCAGGATGATGGGCATACGGAGAGAAATATCTGGAGAGGAAATGGGCTGCACTGATCCCAAAACATGATAAGAAATCCTGTGTGACATGTTGGCGGATATAAATGTACATTTTATTTCCTTAATTTGCTCAAACTTCGTCTCGATGCGTGTCCATCATATTCTGATGCTGCAGTGAGGTTTCCTTCAACAAAAGTAAAATGTGGATCCAGTGGATCATGAGATGTTTTGCTGACAATCAGAGATGACTTCAAAAGCCAATGACAAAGTTTTGTGTTGATCTTTGGTTTCCAAATCTTAGTTGTGAAATTGATTGTATTTTAGGTTGTTTTGTGTGTGTGTGTGTGTGTGTGTGTGTGTCTGTTTTCCACAGTCACTTAGCTGGTGGCAGCCATTTTGAATGGAGTTGACTTCAATTCAGTTATGCATTCAATCATAACATTTTTCATTAATCTCCATTTAGTGATTTGTGTACGGTGGTGCTTTGTACCAGCAAGTGTTTAGACAGTTCCACATGGCACCACAGAAGATTTAAGGATTTCTCAAACATGAATGAGTCAAAGCAACACTGTGGGTATGTTTTTGAGAGATTGACATTATAACATGATATAAAACTCAGAAAATCAGT